AATCATGACCTTGAAGGCATGGGGTGGGCTGAGGGAGCGTAAAGGGCTGATCGGGCTGAACAGGCTGCGCGGGTTGAGCAGGATGAACGGGTTGGGAGCCCCACAAAGTCACCCATCTGGACGGGGATATTGTCGGCCTGGAGCCTCCTTATGCCTTCGCAAATTGAGCAGCCACAAACGAGAGAAGAGGTTCTAGCGCAAGGAATCTTTGAAAACCCCACAGTGGTAGATGAGTGGGGCCTGCCGTGGTCTGCGGCTGAAACCCCACACTCTTTTGGTCGGGTATGGATCCAGCAGGGCATCTCCAAGGTAGCGGACCTGTGGGACGCAGAGCTGCAGCAGTAGAGGTCGCCCCTGGAATTGAGGACAAAGCTACACCAGCTCCGAGGAGTCCCGGAAAGGGTAGTACATGTCAAGCGGTAATCTATAGCATCCCGGAGGCCTGGAAGCGGATGCTGGGGTCCCCTATCCAAGCCTATGGAGGGCATTGGGTAACATGGGTGGACAAAAAGGGAGACGAACTGGTGGGTGAAATTCAGATCTTGTTAGATGGGCATGATGCGGTGGTTACACTGAGTAAAATTGAGGAAAGGCAAGGGGAAGCTCCTCTGTGGATTGTCTCCTCTGGAGAACAAGTGATGAGGCTGGGTTCCAGGATCTCGTTGATAGTAGTTCAATCTAAAAGAGTGGACAATGACAAATTGAATGTGGTTTACACATGCCCTATGGAAACGGAGCCAGCGCACAGGCTAACCTGTGATGAGCCAGGATCCGTAGTCAGCCACTTCCCGTACCCTTAAGGCAAAATCCCATGAAGTACGGGTTCTGGGCGATCGAGAAAGACGGGGCCTATTTTTCTTTTCTTTTCTTTTCCTTTTTCTTGATAAAAGGGAGGGAGGGGTTGGGGGGGGGGTTTGGAATCAGAAACTTACGACTTCTCCGCGCAGACGGTTAGTGACCACGCTGAGAAATCCAAGAAACAGTCAGGATTAGTGTGGGCGGGAATTTCAATTTTTGCATGATAATGCGCGCGCAGCGGACTTTCAAATTTTTGTACGCGGTGTAAACCCGTTCCCTCGCTTTGCATCGTCGCGCCATCTTCCCTTCTTACTGCGCGCTCCTTTCTTGCATGCCTCTTCGTCTTCCCGCGAGCAATTGGCCGTGTAATTGGCATGGTCGGATCAATGTGGTGAAAGCGGGAAGCGCACACCACTTAAACGACCACCCCAATCACACAGAACGTTCGACTCACCTCCTTCGATCCTCCTGGAACCTTGGCCCTTCTTCTGTCCTGGTCATCTACCACCCTTACTACCCGCACCTTGCATTGGCGCCCCGCTGCCTTCCGCGCTATAAATTCTCGCAGCCCCTCCCTCTCCTCCTCTTTGATCCTGGCTGCAATGGTGCGTGAGCTATGCACGAGGTCTACGGCGTCGAAAAGGCTTGACGTGCCCAGGGACGGGCGGAGTGATGACGTGAGACGGGCTTAGCGATAGACTTGGGGTAAGACAGTCGGAGTGACGAAGCGGTGGTGGAGATCGAACGCTGCCGACGACAGGTCCATGTGGCTATGAGTGGTGGAAGTTCGGATTGGTTGGGGGTTGTGCCGGAGGGCGGCCAGCCGAGTGTAAAATTTTGAATAGTGAGGGAATCACTTTTATCTCCATTGCTGCTTTGTCCAAATGTGATGTGTGCAAAGTCCCGAAGTACGGGTATTCTGTTGTATGCATGTTGTGGTGCAAGGGTCTATGGATGTTGAATGTCTCACTGTCCAAGATAGATGAACAAGTAGATGTGTGGGCGCCTACATGTACGATTCTGGGGATCGTGGGGCTTCTACCGTCTGCATGGATGCATGAGTGTGTTGGGCTTCCGTCCCTTCCTCGACCCCTTACTGATCCAGGCGCCACGTGCAGGCACGGGGATTGTCACTAACTCTTTCCTTCCTCTCCACCGTGCGCACAAAGGATCCGAATCAGTTGGGCGGGTGTCGCCCCATGGCTCACCTCGACCACTGAGGATGTCAGGCGCCCGTGTTTCCGTGACGCAGCTGATATGTCCGCGACCCGGCTGTGGACCCACTCGTTCCTAATCACTAAACGGCGACCATGACGACGGATCTTTGCGCCCGCATTTGGACTAACACCGAGAGAGAGAGAGAGAGAGAGAGATAAGGGTAAGGGGGGTTCCGTTGATCTGTGTATGGCGTCAGCGTCCGTCTTGACAAACGTGAGTGTGGGCCATTGCCCGTGCTCGACCTTTACATCGGTTCCTCGCAAAGCGCCACCGTCCTTCCCGACCGCAGACGACGATAACGTGTACTGTGATGCGGATGTACGGAACACTCTGGGACAAAGATAGAAGATTCACCTCTATAACCCCGGTAGGGCCTGCCACATAGGAGGGAGTGGGTTCGTGCTGATTGACTGGTTCTCTTCCCCTTCCTTAATCCTGCCCTACAATGATCCGATAGTGTTACCCTAGTCTGCAGCTCACGCCACGTAGCGGCCTCAGTTTAACTACCATTGGTGTTGTCAGGGAGATTCGTGTTCCTGGCGGAGATTAGTCCTAGGATACGAAGGTGCAACTCAATTTCCAGAACTATCCCGCAACGCGGGTGCGCTCACGGCTAACTTTCGGACCTGGGTTCCCCCGGCCCTGCCTGCACTAAGCATCGCTGCACTGGGATGTCCGTGCGGACTCGATAAGTCTGACATCGAGGCATGAATACTCTGTGGCTCCGGGGGCCCTTCACTACCGAGTGAGCATGAACCTAGCACCGAGTTCCACTTGCCCCGCCCCCTTTTCCTTTCTCTTTTGATTTTGCGCATGGTCGACCAGGTAGCATGTCGCTTGCAACTCCCTGGGCTGAGCGCAAGCATTAGGAAACAAAACCGGATAGAACAGGTCGTTTGAAGATAAGCTTTTTTTATTTCCCCGCTCCCTCTCTCTCTCTTTTGCCATTTACGACGGCCCAAGTTTGAGGAACGCCTTGGTACGAAACAAGAATCCCCCGTTCTGCCTGGGCGATTCGACCCCGCCGGCCAAAAATCCTTGGCCACACCCCCATTTTACTCAGATCACCGTTCGAAGGTATGGGATGACGCGCGGGTTGTGAGGTTGGTATTAGCGCTGGCCAATTTCGGCTCCGAGGTTCCCTTGGCACGACCGTGATTGTTGTTTTTGTTTTTGTTTTTCCTTTTTTTTTTGGGAGACTTTTATTTTGAGATAGGCTGGCGCTCAAGCGTCGCCGCGCGGCTAACAGCAACCAAAACCAAGCAAAAGGGCGAGTCTGAAATCAACCCCAAGTTATGGTTGAACCAGGTCAGGGGGTGGACAATCATGCAGGGATGACCAACCACCCCCTCAACTTTATCCCTCCCCTTTCTGAAGTTCCCATCTTCCTTGAAGATGAAACTAACCCATGTACTTGGCTGATTGCCTTGAAAGCTCAAGGTTGGACGAACCAGTTGCTTCGAGAACGGATTCTGGGAAGGTTAGCTGGAACCGCGTTTGAATGGTATGGACAAAACCTTTATACCAATTGGCCGACCTTCCAGAGAAATTCCCTTGAACGATTTGATCACATCGCGCCGAGGCAATGTCTGCGTTTGATTAAAGAATACACGCAGCAGGCCCGGGAGACCTTGCGTAGACATGCAGATGATGGGGAGCTATTCACCTAGATGGCTGACCGCTTCGGTGTTGGCGGATTTTATCCGGGGATTATCTGATTCTCGGTTGCGGAAAAAGATCCGTAAGAAATGTCACCCGATTGAACATACCTTGATGGCTATGTTGCACGCTGGCCGCGGCCGGTTTCGGCCTAGGCCGCGCTGGGGGGCGGTTTTCGAAGCGGGGAGCAGGTTTGGGGTGGGGGGGTGGGGGGGCACCCCCTCAAAGTGACAGGCCGTAAAAAAAAACAAAAACGGGGGGGTCCTGCACAAGACCCTGGAAGGGTGGGCCGCGAAAAATCCAGCGTCCCCCGTGTGCAGGTTCGTCGATGCGGGGTCATTGGGAGGAGGGTCTGGAACAGTGGAAAAAAATAAAATAAAAATATTTGACCCCTGCAGGCAGTGCGGGGGCGGCCCAACGTGGGTTGGATGAGGGCCTGGTTGGGGCGGGCCGTGCGGCCCGGCCGGGTCAAAGCTAGACGGGGCTGCAGATGGAAGACCCCAGGCGGATCAGGGCCTCACGCACTGAAAGGTAGGCGTCGGTTTCATTCATGAGGGCGATGACAGTTCGTGGCATATTTTAAAACAACACATTCATGGCAATCATAAGTCAGACCCTGTTTGGCATACCAATGTCAAAACACATTGAAAATCAATCACAGTGCAGCGAACCACAAGTTTCAAACAATGATAACAGGCAGGTGTGTCATAGTGTGTGTTCACTCATGAGACTGATGGACATTCATTAGCACATCATTTATGTAAGAACACATTCATTAGCACATCATCCCTATGTCGCGTCTGAAATTAACAGCACATTCATAATGGAGGCATCCATGACATGCAGGTGCGTGGCATCGGAGAAGCACATAATTTGCAACAATCACGACAACAGAGCAGAAAACAATCACCAAACAACAACGACTCAGATGCAAGATCAATGTTGGCGGAGGAACAAGAACAAGAGCAAATATATGACAAAGCATTTCAATGGAAATGCGTATGTACAAGGCTGAAGCCAAAAACCGGACCCGTAGTCTCTACTGTACAACCGAGTAGCAAAAAAAAACTGGACCCATCGTCTCTGCTACACAACAGAGTAGCAAAAAAAAACTGGACC